TATACATATATACATATATATGAATATAAGCCGTCTTTGGCGGTTTTAAATGTTTTTTACGACTGTATATAGGTAATGTATTAACTTTACAAGTAATTTATTATGCACATCAATATATTCTAGATAGTCAAGATTGTACGTACGATTTTTAGGCGTATACCACGTTATATGTATTACGGTAGGTATAGTAGGTATATTAAGTTGTTCAATTTTCAAAAAATCAAAACACTCAATTTTTTGTTATAGTAATATCATTTGATCTGTCCGTAGAAAACTTGTAAAATTATAGACTATTATAATACAGAAACCAAATAGTCAAGCATTTAACTTTTTTTGGGGCAGGATAATGAAGATTTATCGTAACTATTGTGAGATCATTAAAAACGAAAATAATAAAATTAAAATTTTTTGAATTTTAAAAATGATTTCTGAGTAGAGATAGTGAAAACCGTCGATTACAAGTACTTATTGACGATTGTACACTGTATATACTGTTTGAATTAATATTAATTTAAAACAATTATTACGTTTAATATATAATATTATGTTAAAAGTGAAATACAAATATATATCATTATTTTATACAATTTACACGATTAAATGTTATGGCTTATAAAGTCACGAGTAATACAATTTAAATGTAAAAAAAGACGCACACAACCACTGTAAAATCAACACATTTATCACTCCGCTCAGAATCTAAAAAGTTTCAAGAGTCTATATACTATACAGACTTATGCATACTTATTATGCGTCGGGTAATTGTTCGTGTGCATATCATTGTATTGTATTATAAATCAATACATAAATTTATGAAATGCATGCTCGCCACAGGTATCTATAATATAATATAATACGGATATTGCACTTCTCAAAGAGTGGTTTAATTATCGAGCGTTTGACGATGAAAGGAATGAGACAACACGCTGAACGTCATATGAAAATTTCAAATTTACACGTACGTCGTGTGATCCTTACATCTAGTATGAAAACAATACGTGTTTTATTAAATAAAATTTACCTATATAGCTATATAAACACCCTTGTCCCTTTAAACAACACTCGGTGAATTGCGAATTGTTGAATTATTTCTTTGCGACGACTTCATATTTTACAGCGCTAAGATGATGAATATATTTATCCACGTATTCAGCATTATGAGTAACATTTATTAGATACGATACGATTAAACCAACACACTAGGTCAGAATTGGAAGAGTTCACAACCACTTTGGTTTCATACTCTTATCACAGTAAAAATTTTCAGAAAATATTAACTTTAATTTGTATTTTTTTAAGAAGAATATTTAAATGCACTTAAAAACTTGTAGTATATAAGTCTTGAATTTATTTAAAATCTATGTCATTATAAAACGATTCTTCAATAAGTGTTTATAAATCAAAAGAAATTGAATCTATCTAGATGAAAATTTGATAACAGATTATCTGTATTATGATAACTAATGAATACATATATACCTATACAATCATCATTTTTTAATCTAAATAAAATTATTATTGTTTAAAATAAATATTTCATAATGTAAAAGTAAGATTTTAACGCTACTGAACGCTCTTTTAATTTTGTTCACAAATATATTCATTGTCGGACAGCGTTGTAATTTGTCTATGCCGCAGAGAAATTACATAAACGTGTTAGGCATAAAACTGATAAAAGACATCAATTGCCAGGAGTCGCAGCAGTTACTATACATAATTTTTAAGCATTCTTATTGAAACAGTATTCGATTTCACCGTCAAAATGGTCGTATTGTTATAAATTATAATAATATGTGCAATGCATATTTATATGTATTTCGACGTGCACTTACGTCGTCGTATGGTTTAGTATTAACGACTTTCTGTCGGTAAATAAAAGATTTACGATTTATACGTTATTCTGTATGCGTTTAGTACAATATGTACATAATAGAAAAGTATAAAATAAACGGATAGGTACCATAAATATGAATGACCTAAGAAACGGTGTAAAAAAAAAAAATTATTCCGCGAAACACCAAATATATATGGGCACTGATGCATTTATATAGATCAGGATTTCTTAATATTTTTAGGGTCATGGACCCCTTTAAGATACTAATACTAGTAATACTTGATATATTTAAAAAAAATAATAGCCACAGACCTCGGTTGAAAGGATAATATTGAGTTGTATTTAAAAATGTACGTAAGTCAAAAAATATATATTGCTATACTAATATTATGCCCATCAGACAAACTTTGAAACGTCTCTTAAAAGGCAACAGAGATTCTAGCTAACTCCGAAAATTACTTAGCAAAATTAAATGTTTGAATATAAACATACTGATCTCTCCCCCCCCCCCACAAGAAGTACCAGCTATAGCTTAATTTTGTTTGTTGATTTGCAAATTTTAAATCTTGGAGTCACTACTCACTAGTAATACCCAAAAATGGCCTAGCAACATATTTCAAATTTTTAATTACAATTTATATTGAAATAATTTTTCAGTGTCAAAAACTTAATTGATACTGTTACTAAAATAATTATGTTATTTGAATATTGAATACACTATGTAAGATAATAAAGTAATATTACTCGAAATTGTATTCATTTAGATAATAAACTTTGAGCACAAGAATATTAAAATATTTTAAATTTTTAAACAACTATCGTCTATCGGAGTTTGATATCTTATATTGTTTGTGAATATATTATAATAAAAATATTTTTTTGGAAATTTTCAATTAAATATTATAAGTGAAATACATTTATAATCTAGAATTATTTTTTATATTTTTTTATTAGCTTACACAAATAATTAATAACAATAAATTAAATAACTGAATACCTGAATACTATATTATATGCATACAGAGATGTATGTAGTATGCAACTGTCAGCTCCTACAAAAGACTCATGGAGATAATAAATAATGGCAATAATATAAACAACACTTAAAGATGTTTTTTCGCATCTAGTTGTCATATACATTAACTCGATGTTCAGCGGGTAATGTTCGTAAAACGGGCAGCACATGCCATGCATCGGTCTGGAAATGAACAAGATTCATTTCAGCACTACACATCCAAACACGCGACTGTGAAAAACAAAAAAAAAAAAATAAAACACAAAAACACAAAAACGGCGTGACCAAGAATTGGACGGTAAAGATGGTCTCCGTGAAAACGGTTCGCGGTAACTTGCAGAAATACGGACAGACCGAAAATATTGCGGTTACCCGGTCGCCGTGAGTATACCGTAAACGATACGCGGTCGGCGGTCACTTCAGCAGTGATGCTTATACCTCAGTCAGAACGCGCGGATTTTGAACCTCCGCTGGATTTCGCCAATAAACATTTCAGTGCCAACTTTCCAAGTGCATCCGCCCAAAAATTCAACAGTGAAAATCTATAAATGTGCGTTTTGGTGACCGCTGTAAGCTCGACCACGTAGGTATTTAACGCTGTTCACTGTCCATACCATTTTATGTAAGTACGGCCATAAACACACGATGTCACGGTGAGCAGGTTACCACGATATTTTCAGTTGGTCATCTAACCTTACCAATATTCACATTTTCCTTGTGCCAGGACCAAAGTCCACAACCGCCGTTTCCAAATTTTCTGTATATTATCTTTACAATAGTACATATTATAGTATAATTTAATACAATGTATGTAATAATAATAGTTTAGAGGTTTGTATAAATCAAATAATCTAATTCATACAATAGTAACAATCGTATACTTCCTTTATCCTTAGCCACCTTTTGTAGACTTAACGCGGTGCAACATTGTTTGAAGTTAAAACCAAAATATATGCTTTATAAATCATATCCACATATTTTGTATTTGTCTTGATCGAAATGATTCGTAAGAAATGTGGTTCTTTTGTTGACAATCATGAATTCGTATACAATTTGATTTTTCTCGCACTATAACACTTGTGCAAAACGTACAGTAGGTACTAGCGTGAGAAGTTCTCATTGATAACCGATGAACCCATAGATATCTAACATTTTAAGGGGGAAGGCAAAATAATACAAAAAAATCTCAAATTTAACCTAAATAAAGGTATTTTGTTATTTCATTATATATATATATGCTGAGATAACAAACGTGCTTTAATTACAATTAAAAATAAATAATTGCTATTATTTATAAAATTAAATTTATATTTATATTAAGTTTTAATAAGTAGAGGAAAAAAAATACAATCAAATGGATTATTCGGTATCAGTAAATAAAAACTGCATATTTCTTCGTTTTATTCATTTCGTTCTAATGCAGCTAAACAATTTATTTGTTTAAGTAATAAAATCATGATTATATTTATCAAATTATAAGTTAATATTATTTTTGTCACGTTATCTCACAAAAAATTAATATTTTATTTGTTGTCATAGGCGGTTACAATTAGTTAAATAAAATAATTATTATAATTATTTATAATTTTAAACTTGCATTAATTAGATTTTGTTCGAAATAACCCAAATAACTGTATTAAAAATGTGTGCAGTCTAAATTTAATAGAATTTAAGAAGGGATTTAATTTTTTGAAAAACAACGCCGTTCTGGATCAGCTTAGTATTTAATGATAATCTTTAAATACTTTTTATTTTTATTTTTAATCTAAAACGTTGTAGTTATTATTTTTAAGTCTTTTTGTTGAATATTTTTTTTGATATAAAATTCTAGACTTTGGAATACGTGAATTTTAGGCCCATCAGACGTTCAACGCATGATAGGTTATGGCTTTGATACGTATCACAACAGTTATACAATAAACCTAATATGACAAAATGTTTACAATTATGTAAATCAATATACATATATATTATGTACAAAATTTATACTTGATTAGATAAGACAATATTTAAAACAAAAAATACGTATCACAAGTAGTACATTTAATAATACAATAATATATCAATAAATCAACAAATTACAATAATAATATTAATAATTATACATAAGTAATATAAAGAAGTATAATAATTTTGATTTTCTATGTTAATAGTACACACACTCGCGGGACACGCGTACATATAAAACGTATATTAAAATTAATAGTAAATATACAATACAACATTATAATATTACAAGGAAAAGAAAACGATGAGATACGTCGGAATGCGCGTGCCGAGGAATATTTTGACGCGCTTTAATGTAGACGAACGAAAAAGGCAAATGATTTCGAAACCGTTTCAGTGATCGCGCGTGTGATCAATAATACGTCATATTACAATACGATATCATGATCAGCTAGTAGTGTATTGGTTCGTGATCTTTATTGAGCGTTCAACAGTATTAGTTAGGTTATGTAAACATTATGATCTACACAGCAGTTGTCACTGAAGGGATGTACGACGTTCTGTAGTGGGAGACTTCCACAAGAGATTTTCCTATACGGCTATACCTCGTTTGAAATTTCAAGTTAAATAATATTGATTTCACAAATCATTTGATTTTGAATTTTTGCGACAAAAATTAAATTTCTCAATACAGCCAAAGCATTGGTTATGGAAAACAATAAGTCAACTTAAAAGTCTCCGGGTTTATATAATGATACTAATTTCAGAGTGGTCTTTGTTTTAGCTCTAAATACATCACTGCATCCCCGGTGACACTGTTTTTTTTTTCAAAATTCTTATTGAATCGATATGACAATTACAGGCTAGTATAACATTTTTTAACAAGAATCCGAGTTTACGAAAAAGTCTTTTACGGTAATTTTGAAATAATTTATTACAATGCGATTTGTCACAATTAAAAAAAAAGTTTCGTTTAGCATTCTACGAAAAAAGGTCTATACATCTCGATGAATAAACTTTTGAAATTCAGCGCAATCGAATAGGTACGGATAATGTTTATTTCAATGTTTCAAACAATCTCGTTAGGGATCAAAAGTAGTCTTCGAAATAGTCGCATTACGCATATCGTACAAAATACGATTTCGTTCTACATTATAGGTGGGGGGGGGGAGTTTATCCACTCGCTCACCATAATAAACCGTTGACATTAAAATATAGATGATAAAAATAATAATAATAATAATAATAATAATAAAAAAAAAATGATAATATTAATAAGTTTAGCGCCACCATTCTTGAAACGGTATGAAAACACACAGTCATACAGTCAACGATATAATATTAATTATTATTATAGCTACACAGGACCTGCGACGCTATAAATCCTTAGCATCTGATTTATGCGCGATAGTCGTCTGTAGAAGTAATAAAAATAACTGACGACGTCGCCGCCGCCGCTGATCAGTAGGGCCGCCAGACGGCCAAGTCGGTGTGCTGTTGCTGCTGTTGCTGTCGGTCACTGTACCGGCCACCGATGGGTATGATGTCGCTCGCCTGATGGTGTTCGTCGAGCGGTACGGCGGGGGGTGGCGGTAACAGTCCGATTTCGATGCCGCGCGCGTTCACTCCTCCGCTGCCGGCCGCGTTGATCGCTAACTGTGCGGCCGGATTGCCGGTGGCCGCCACCGCCGCCAACGCAGCCACGTCGTCCACGACGTACTGATGATGATGGTGGTCGGCCGCGGACGGGTCCTTGATGCTATTGTTGTTGTTGTTGTTATTGTTGTTGATGTGCAACTGCTGCAATTGTTGTTCGGCCGCGGACGACGGCGCGTGCAGGTGCAGGTGTATCTGGTTCTGGTTCACCGTCGAGTACAGGTGCGGGTACAGCACCATCGTGGTGGGTGGTGGCACGGGCGGCGGTTCGGCAGTCATCTGCACCGGATGGTGCGGCGGCGGCGGCGGCGGTGGCGGTGGGACCACTGCCCCGTTGTACTGGTACGCGACCGCGGCCGAATGGTGATGGTGGTGATGGTACGACGACGGATGATGGTGATGGTGGTGTTCCGCGGTCGGCCAGGACGACGGGTAATAGCTTCCGCCGACGCCTGTTTCCACTGCGTCCTGGTGATGGAGCACCGGTTTTAAGAGTTCCTGTTGGTGGTGTTGTTGTTGTTGTTGTTGGTGGTGGTGGTGGTGCTCGTGTTGTTGTTGTTGGTGGTGGTGTTGGTGTTGTTGGTGCGAACCGCAATAGTCGGCCATGTGATTGTTTTGCTGGACTTCCTGATGACTGCCTACGTACACTGTAACACAGACGAAAAAAAAAGAAACCGTATTTTATTAATGACGGACAAAAACAGTAAATGTTTAGAATAATTGATAAAAAAAAAAGTATTAGAATTTATACGATAAAAGCAAACAATATCATTATAAAAACTAAAGCATTATATTATTATAGTATTTAATGACAGCTATTCGAAAAAGAATACTAATAATACAACGTAGCAAGTGTAGTACACACAGTAATAAACCAAGTTTCCTCTTCATTTTTTTCTTTTTAAAATAAATGTATTCAAATTCTGATTTTTTTAATTTCTAATATTTAAGGAATTATTTCTGAGGAAGTACCTATAAACTTCTTTCAGTTTTTTAATTTTTATAACATAAATCAATTATGCGTCCAATATAAATAAAAATTATTTAAAGTAAATATGGTGTTAATGATTGTATCTGGTTTCAAGGTGAGAAGGTCAAAATGATGCTTTTATAACCCTCATCATACTGTTATTCTTTTGAAAAGCGCTAAAACAATACTATAAATCAATGAATAAATACATACATGAAAAAATGTACGTACATCGTCGATATCGTGGTCATTACATCCAATTTATATGACTGATGGGTGATTGTCGACGGACAGTAGTACAATAGATAAATCTTGTATTTATATAAATAACTGATCAAAAAACATAGATTTATATCTCGTTAGAGAGCAAATAATATTTTATATGATAAGTAAATTAGATGCAATCTATTCCGTTCACACATAATTTCAATATATTAAATAGGTCTACCTATATAAAAGACGGGACCACAACATTTATGTTTGTAACCTACGCGTATATGTATAACCGAACCGACTGCTTTGGGACGAACGTGTATATTATGGCGTTGACGTACTTATGTCTTAAATAGTATATCATAATATATCATATTATATGTTATGAGTGTAAATTTAACGCATTAATATATCAGTCTCTCGGCGAGTTTTAATTCCGTTGCCAATAAGTTCCATTTTTTTTTTTTTTTTTTACAGAAACTCAAGTAATTATCAGGGGTACACGTGGGTTCGCAGATGACTACGAAGACGATCTCATTACGATTTACAGGATGATTTATGAACAGACACACACGTTACACACGGTCGTAATAGATGGTTTATATAATAATAACGTATTATTATATCATACGAAAACGATATAAAATATATTAATGACAGTTATGACACCCTCCGGTCACGATAATGTACCACACACGGGAATAATTGTATTATAGACATTCAAACACCAATCGGGCGTAGGTAGTAGGAGAAATCTGACGGTCGATCAAATGATTTCTTCACGTAAAATATTATTGTATGTTTTATTATATATGCTATCGTTGTTATAAATACATACGTCACCGAATACCTATAATACTTATAATTAACAATTATCAATGGATACAGATTACAAATAACAAAAAAAAAAGGTTTAGTCAAATTTTAAACGTGCTGACGTGCTGTAATTTCCAAGAAAAAAAAATCAGCAGATATAATATTATGCCAATTTTTAAATTATTTCGTCATGGTAAACGTCTTTAACCCGACACTATTATTTATTACGAGTATTATTTGCAATGTAAATACCAACAATTTTACTCCTCATCTATGGTAGATACTGACGACACTGTACAATATAACATTTTTGTATTTTTTGTTTTCATACGTCTCTACTCTCCAATAACTTGAACACTAACTGTCCAATCTTTACGATGATGGATTGAACAAATATAAATATTTTAAATAACAGACCACGTCAAGCACATCTCCATGTCAAACCCGTACTAATATCTACACCAAAATATTTCTTAACGGTGAAATGCGCCTACAATGTTATTATACGATCCATTTAAATCCATTCCACTATAGAAAAGTACTTAAACTAAATGTTTATTACTGTTAAAAAACAATGAAATATTGCAATGAGGAAATATTAAGTTTGTTTTTAAAAATTTGTTGCAATTTTAAATTCACCAATAATCATGAATTTGTTTTAAAAATTAATAGATTTGTCGTAAAAGTTATAGAAATGCATAAATTTGTAGCTAATAAATCAATAAATTAATACATAATTTTTTTTCAACGATTTAATCATCAAAATTTTTAAAAATTTATGGAAAAGTAAATGATAACTTTTCGAAATTAGTAAATTAATAATTATTTATGTGTTTTAAGATGTATTTTATGTTGTAATTTTACACTAGAGTAGTTAGTCGATTGCGATGTGTAGTTACAATTTTCATGTATACATTTCAACCTTGTCTACATTACAATGTATTTATATACAAGTACCTACTATCTATCTACCTGTATATAACCTAATATTATACCATTTAATTCGAACGACTGACCCGAGTTTTAGGATGAAATACAGAAGATTTTTGCAATTTGAGAGCTTCTGAAGATATATACGTACACACACACAAATATATACTATGTATGTATATAGTTCATGAACATATAAAGACCTAATGTAACTAATATACATATATAAATGTGTGTGTGCGGATGTGCGTATAACCATCGCGTGACGAACACACGCGACGTCGATCTTTCTTAAATATACGTAGGTATAATAAAAAATATGATATTTTTGAGAGCTAATTTGCAGTAATCGATGCGCCCGTCCACATTTTGTATATTGTTTATCATTAAAATATCTACATTATATATGGTGCATAATTGTATCATAATATTAAAATAGTACATAACGTATTTTTACTGATCTCGTGCGTTTATATACGGCTTTAATTTATACCCACAGTAAATAGTAATATTGTTTATAATTTTCCTGAGTGCACTAAAATCATATACTATTTAATGTCATTCATGATTAACATATTTTTATTACCGTGAAACCAACTCAAATATTTTCCTTTACTTGCCTTGTCTATAGAATTTGTGAGTATAAAATATTCGATTCAAATCAATAATTTTACTTTTAAGATAATTTAGCCCGTGAATTATAGTTTTGCAGTAAGCTAACTAATTAAGAATAAATTTATCTCAGATTCAATAGATGAAAAGAGAAAACCAAAATTGATTGAGATAATCTTATATGACATAATATATTATAATTTATAAGTTGCCCTAACCTTGCCCAAATATGTACGTTATACCGATTTCCAAGGATATCTATTCTAAATTCATTAAAATTTAACACGACCGTCCGGGTCAGGCGTGTTCATGGTATAAAGTCACAAAGGTAATATACTAACAGTAATTTGGTAGGTAAATAGAAAATGAGGTAGGTACTATTGATATTTTTGTTGTGGAATGACCAAAACTCTGCATTTAACGCGTCTTGAAAATATAAAATAAACCAATCGGTAGTAAATAAAATAGATTAATATATTATTTAATGATATAAATTATAATTCTTAATTGTCTAGTATACCTATTACTAGCTGTGTATTCAAATAGAATATCTCAAAACAAACTACATAGCTATTCAAATATAGATTTGGAAATTATTTAAGTCCTTACTCTTATTTATGCCGTAAAAAATCAAAGTTTGAATAAAATCATAATTTAAACGAGAAAATAGAATGAGCAATGACCACGTATAAGAAACCGCCATAAATATATATTTATGATATACGACATACGTGATATCGTTTATGATATAATATACGTTGTTATATTATGCAATATACTTACTGGCTGAGGGAGCTTCCATTGCCATGGTGGCGGCAGGTCCGGTGGCGTCGGGGTACGCAATATATGCGGCTCCTCCGAGTGGAGCGGCACTAGGTGAATACGATGACGTCGAATAGCTACACCAGTTGCTCGATTCAGTTACGCCAACGGGTATGTCTGAATGTTCATCTGAAAATTTTACGGATAATTAAAATCGTATATCCATTGAAACCAAAAGTAATGTATTTATACATTCATGTACGAAAAAAATGCACGCTTTACTTTTCTTGGAATATATACCAGGAGTGGAATGATCCTGGACTAGTAAGGAAGTTTAGATGGTAACCCGGAAAATATATAAAAAATTAGCTTTCGCTACAATCGCAATAATTCTTTCACAAATCGTACTCATTCAAATTATTTATAGAACATAGTATTATAGTAACATTCATTTTTAAATTAATTATTTGGAACGCTAATTCGCGTTTACAGTGATAACTGATGCTAATTTAAGGACCCGTGATAGTTGATTTTAAAGTTAAAGTCTTTCATATAATGTTACACCATTTTATGCACAGTCTTAGACACCTACGAGTACGATATTAATTTAACAATATATTTTAATAAGTTTTAAAACTGGACCTTTGACATTTCAAAACGCATAATTTTATTAAAACTAAAAAAAATTAAGAAGTATACCAATTTGGTTATTTAAAGTGATTATAAGTATCTACTCGACATAACTCCTTACATTATTTTGTTCTAACATGTACATACATATTATATTATATCTCAACATAATATAAACTAATAATTTACACTTAAATTAATATTTGTGATATATATAGATAATTTATTATTAGACAATAGTCATAATCAATAACGTGTTCATATCATTAAATACCATCAAAACCGAAGTATAAGAAATGGCCCAGAAGGAATTCTACATAAATATCCATCTGGCCAACAGCCTAGTTTATCTCTGGGTGGGACGCGATACGTTGACAGCGGTTTAGGCAAAGCTGTGTAGCTATATTATGCTGTATGCGTATCCATCATAATATCTCGCCCGTTGAAATCACGGTGGCGCTGCGGGGGTGGTTCTGTGACGAAGGCGCGCATATAATAACATCAATTTCATATATTGTGATGGTAATAATGATGTTAATATGATATAAATAGATACCTAATTCACATGAAACAGGCGCATATATTATTATAACAGTACGCATTCGTTAAAAAAGCAGTCCCGCCCGAATAAGAAGACGGACGACAAATTGAACGAGACGCGAGCGAGTACATTATAATTATTGTTATACGTGTGGAGTACCTACTCGAAAACACAATTGTGATAAAGTCATCGGAGCGTGTGGCGGCGTCTACGGGGGCAGGGGAATGCTCGCGCGAGCATATTAAAATATATTTGTAATAGTATAATAGCTCATTAGTCATTGTCATCAAATCGGAATGATGCACAGGCACAGACGGAGAAGAAAAGAGAACATGTTAATAATAAAATATATTTTTATAAAAAATTAATATAATCACTGACTGCAGTATAACAACGCGACGAGAACCTGTTGAAGCCGGTACACACACAAGTATGGTCTCATTCATTGTGCGCCATAATATAATACGTATATGTATATTGTATACAATAAAGTATGTACATAGGTATAGACCATATGTATATGCGTGGTAGATATTTTTCGACGGTAAATTAATGGCCGACTGTGCTAAGGACATGCGATATTTCACACGTCGAATAGATTTTCGTCGTCGTCCTCTCTTCGTGTAACGTGTGTGAGTGTGTGCGAGGGCGCACGCGAGCGTGAGGACAATGCTTCGGGAAAAACGAAAAACGTTAAACGAAACAATATAATAATAATTTAATATAATAAAACATTTGAAGAATAACACGCACGCTTGTCGGCCGCTCGTGTACTTATTATTATATTGAAGGCGTTTAAGCGCGTCCTACACTATACACTATATGCAGTGTACGCATATACCTAATATATTATGACATAATATTATAGAGTCGTTTTGGGAAGAAAAATAATTTTCGAAAATAAATCCTAATATAATAATGGAAATCGTTGAGTTTGTGACCGACGGGCCCCGCGGAGATGTGCGCATACTACTATTGGTTGTACGTATATGTGTGTGGTTGAAAAATCGACGGACGTATCGTAATATAGTCCTCACTGTGACGATGACGTTGCGCCCGTATATAATAGAATATGAAGTGTTATAACTTATAAGTATGCATATAAACTATATATTATGAAACTTTTTTTTTTTTAAGTTAAAAGTGCGCGACCTGTGAACACAGCCGTTTAATACCCACTAGTCGAAGACCCGCAAGAAGTGTTTTACCGAGATTTATGATACTGCTTTCGATTTTTTCAATACTTCGAAAACGACTACAGGTATACCTCTACACGTGAAAAACATTCGTCAAAAAGTACTGTACATTCATAACATATTATATTATATAGGTGTACTAGGTGATCATTAATCGAAGCGCGAAAACGATGTAATACATCGACATTCGACTATTATCCTTTATTTACACATTACACAATATGTGTGGGTACCTACATTGTACATTTGTACACAATATAATTTACAAACATGAACATTCGATAATACATCGACTTAAACACCAACAATTTAACAATAATTTATACCAACGTACATGCGTTAGTGTATTAATATACCTAGAAAAAATGTGTAACTATAAGTTCTGTTGTGATTACTGATTTGCAATTTTTCAACGAGTTGATTTCGTATTTCACGGAGCGCAGTGGTAAGATTAAAATCAAAACACAATTGAAATCTTTACCTCCAAAACGTTAAGCTTTTACTATTTAAAATATCGATTTCAGAATCAATACGTGATTTCAAAATGGTTTATAAACTACTAGAATTATTCGTCTTCGATCAAATAAAATGGTCTACTCAAAATTCAAAAGACCAATAAAGTACGTAGTTTGAAAAAAATATATAAGATTACATTTTTAGACATGTGTATTGTAGTAAAACTGATAATGATGCGCATACGGCATACATAATAAAAACCTACCTATCCCGACACTCAATTTATATTTTTTAACCCTATTTTAACCGTCTGCAGAGAAATTCGCATATATACAATACGTATAATCTGTATACATCTACCTTTATTAAAATTTAAAACCTATTTTCAAATATTATAAACGAAATAGGCTAGGAAACTGTATATTAAAAATTTAAGATATATATGTGACCTTAAAAAATAAGAACCAAAACTACTACCCATATATTAAAATTTATAATATACAATATACATACATATAAAAAAGGTATAACACGTAGTTATATCTAGCCCGTAATTGGTCAGACATGACGAACTGTATTTGTAGTGTTGCAAATAATAACTACATGAAAACCACAATAATATATTTTGTATTATATATAACAAATTGTATTGCGTAGCAAAATGGTAATTCTGCATAAATGAAAATAATGATTTTAAATGTTTTTTTGAACTTAGCTCGATCGCTCTCGTATATAGGTATAAATGGTATAATAATATCTAAGATTATATAATGGAATATTATTATCAGATTGTGATCGATTGATAGTGGCCATTTATAGAACAGCTGATCAATTAAACTTTAATCGTATTTTATATTTTTTACTTCTTATAAAGGGGCGATGTGTTCAATTTTAACAACCGTTTTAAGTTTAAAAATGAATGATTCTGTGGTACCGCTTTTCATCTTAACCATAGATAAACAACGTATATTAGTAAATAATTTTGTATTTTTATAATCGTCATGTTGAATAAAATATTCGATAAATATACATCGGTATTTTCAGAAAAATACTCTACTCTGAAATATCAAAGTAAAAAACAAATGAGTTATAATTACATTGTAGAAAACAAAACGCAGTGAAAAAAAATTAGATGCACCTATCAGGCGTGATTTTTTCCTTCTGAATCTTGTCGTATACGACTTACTGTGTTTTTGCAGCCCACCCAGCTCGTTGAACTACGTTACATAGATATACCTATAGGCTTTACTAAATATTATAAAGTATACAATTTTAATGCACCGAAAAAAAAAAGACACTCGATAGTGTGGGTATAGAAAAAACGATATTATAAAAAAAAAAAAAACATCGCAGCAATACAGCATATATTATGCCATACAATATATTATACCTCATAAAGGTAGTATCTAAATAGATACCTACCTATATGAAGTATAATATTGTACGCCGTCTTTGGTTATCCGGAAATCGATCACAGGGGATGTGGTTTCTCGCGTGTATACACATAATTTGTATATTATTATACGTATATAGTGTTGGGTACCTATACGTTTTATTCCTCACAGTATCGACGAGTCGCACCCGCACGTACCTCGGGAACCTATATTGTTTTTTAATCCACACTGCACCGACGCGTGCATAGGTTGCATTTTACCGCAAGTGTGCAGGACATAATATACTTTTGTGTATATTATAAACTCCGATATAGCTGTATACCACGTGCACTTCAAGGGTAATGTTTCATTAACCCGCTATAAAACATATAAAACAATACGGATAATATGATAAATTAAAACCTATTTAGTACAATGTATATTATTATTCCACAATTACTAAACAATAATTGCACGTGCTTGTAAATTTTTTTATCAAAAATGGCTTCACGGATTTCGTCAGAATTTCCTAATTAGGAGTTTTTTGATATAAGGTCAAAGTTTAATCTTCGGGGAAATTCGCGTTTTTTTAGTTAGGTATGCTAGAAATTTTGAAAAAATTACAAAAATCCGAAATATTTATCTTATTATTATTATTATTATAGATTATTACAAAGAGTAAATAATAATTATATTATAATTATAAATTATACTATACCGAGCTTTAATTTACACGGAACGGGCAAACGATTTCAATCTTCAGATTTAAATTAATTAGAAATCTCTATACAATACACAATCATATTAAAATAAAAGACAACACAGTTAGGGCTTTAAATGCTAAATAGTTAATTACGTAAAAACAATTTATGATCGAAAATTCATAGATTATCTCGGGCCTACTATATATAATTTAATATATTTTGACGTAAAATAAAAATTATTATACTATAAAAACAAAAATCAATAAAAAAAGTTAATAAATACATGGTT